CTTACGCTTCAAGTACGCCTCTTGTACCTGTCGTCTCGTCGTGTGGTCGTCTGCTTTACTCTCTCTTGTTAAGCAACCTCATCGTTTTCTTGTGGTGGCCTCCTATGTCATCCTTATGTCACGATCTCGCCATAAACCCGAGACTTGATCGCCGAAAGACAGAAATCTTGGTCAGCAAAAGAGTCGTCACATTACACAAAAACACAATTGACCCAGCATTGCATTAGATTTCAATTTCATTAATTAAATTAAATTTTAATTAATAAATACAAATTTTTAATTTTTTAACCAAAAGGTATGTAAAATTAAAAAAGAAACCAAAAAAAAAAAATTTTTAAATAATAAAAATTGGTTAATTGAGAGCAATTTTAATAAATGACCTTGAAACAAATTCGGCTGGGCCGAACAATTTACAAAAGTTAAAATTGCTCTAAAATCGAAAATTTTCGATAAAAAATAAAAACTTTTTTTCCATTTTCTTTACTAAAACAATCTTTTTTCCCCCCCTTTGTGAAATTTAATTCTATTTTCTCACGATTATTATTAATTAATATTCATAACGCGTCGTTAAGCGGAAATATTATAATTTTACTCGACTTGAGGATAATTTGTATTCATGGTGCTATATATTGTATATAATGCTGAAATCATCTGTTTAGAGAAGAGTCCCCTCTCTCGCTCACTCTCTCTTTGCTCTCTAAATTCGCAATAAGGGAAAATTCATATGTCGTCGTTGTCGTTTCACGAAAAGTGAAAATCGGGAAATTTTAGGCACACTTTGAAGGGAAAATGAGACGATGTTTAAACCTTTACCACAACTTTCCAAAATACACTTTGGTTATTATCATAGACCTGCAAAAAACATTATCGTTAAAAGAGATCACTCTCGACGATTATGGTCCATGAGAGTTTGCAGCTTTTCGCTGACTTTACTTCCGCTATAGAATTTTACCACTTTCGATTAAGAAAAAAAAAACTCGTTGCAATTAGTCTCGATTAAAAAATATAATTAAAAAAATAAAATTAAAATTATAATAAAAAAATTACGAAATTGAATATTTTAAAAATATTTGAATTTGTATTGAAAAAATAATTATTCAGTTAAAAAGTAAATTCAAAAATTGTAAATTTGCATTAAGAGGGAAATTTAAAGTAAATATGTCCCAAGAAACATTTTTCTACGATCATTCCTTTTTGAGTTATGCGATTTTTAATGCGCGGATAAATTTCAAGGTCACGGCTAAAATTGTTTCGGCCCAAAAGTTAAAATAGCTCTAAAATCCACAATTTTCATCCTAGGCAAAAATGGTAAAGAACACTTTTTCTTGTTTTTACACTAAATTTTTAATTTTTGCATTGAAAAAACGAAAATAAAATTTTTTTTCCCAAAATAATTGTATTTTAAATCAAATTTTTGGATAAAAATGAAGTTTCGATGGAAAATTACAATTTTTTTTTTCATTAAAATTCAATTTCTATGGATTATTATTTCAAACATTGAAATTCTCGGTTAGTGAATTTCTATGGAAAATTATATCAAGAGAGTGAGTGAGTGAGAGAGAAAGATGATGAGACCGACTTCTCTATATTCTCTGTGTATATATGTCGAGAAATGCAAACGGTTATCGGAGTATAATTCAATTACCAAATCTTCACGGTGTCTGGAGCGCCATTGTCCCCTGGCTTTCCCTTTTACCGGGTGCTGATTCGTTATCGCCCTCCGGGAGACACAATGGTGTTAAACAGGAGATAACCAAACTGATAACTACCAGCACCGCTCGAACCGCAACTTCGTTAACGTTTACAAAGCTCCAACGAACCAGAGGTTTGGCCAGACGACAATTAAAAAAGAGAAGAAAAAAAAGGAAAAAAAAAAATTTTTCACTATACAGTTTACTCTCGATAAGTGGTCATTTTATTTATTTTTTTTTAGTTTATTCTTACTAAATGATAACTAATTATCGAGGGTCGAATATAAATAAAAACAAATTTGATCAGTTATCCAGGTTCGACTGCAATTGAAAAATAAAATAGTGGCCAATTGATCAATTATCGAGGTTTAAGTGCAATTAAAAATAAAATAGCAAAATGACCAGTTATCGAGATTCTAATGCAAATAAAAAATAAAAACAATAACAAAAGAGAACTTTTATCGAGGTTCAACTGTAATTGAAAAATAAAATAGCGGCGAAGGGACCAATTATCGAGGTTTGAGTGTAATTAGAAATAAAATAGAAAAGTGACTAGTTAGCGAGGTTTGACTGCAAATAAAAAACAAAAATAATAACAAAGAGACCACTTATAAAGGTTCAACTGTAATTGAAAAATAAAATAACAAAGAGACCACTTATCAAGGATCGACTGTAATTGAAAAATAAAATAACAAAGAAACCAATTATCGAGGTTCTACTGTAATTGAAAAATAAAATAATAACAAACATTTCAATTATCGAGGTTCGACTGCAAATAAAAAATAAAATAACACCAAACTGACCAATTATCGAGGTTCGACTGCATCAAAAAAATAAAAAACCACAAAAAAATCCCCCCATTGAAGAAAAAACAAGGTTTTTAGGGCAAATAAAGGGGAAAAGAAGAAATAAAAAATTTTTATTGTGTGTAACTCTTGGTAAATAACAAAAAAAAAAGTAGATAAACGTTCAAAGTAGAAGAAGAGCACACGCAAAGGGTGGACGAACTCAGCTAGTGGTTAGAGAGATGGGAGAAAAGGGGTGAAGTGGAGGGGGGGGGGGTTTGGCTGCCGGAAGTCGAGGAAGAAAAAGAGGAACCGGAAGCAAGGTCCACGTGACCCGACGTGCTCATTGGCTGGAATGCAGATACCACCTTCTCCCTCCCCCCTCCACCCCATCGTCTCCTACTCCTTTACTCTACTTCTTCATCCTCTCATTCGCCTCTCACACTCCCCCCCCTCACCTTCCCCTTTTTCACCACCCTTTACCACCTATAACCAACCACGACGATTTTATCCCATGACTCCCGGCAACCCACTCGACACAATACACTATTTCACGTTTCAAACTCACTGAGAGATAAGGCTATATATATATATATATATATGATTGAAACAGAAGAGCCAACGAAATATAATATCAGTTTTGAAATGTTAAATTTGTAACAATTCACGTGTATTTGAAAAAAAAAATATATATACACAGTAAAAAAGGAAAAGAGATAGAAAAGTTGTCAAAATTTTTTTTTAATTATTTAAAAAAATTGGAATATTTGAGGAATATTTTTATGGAATATTTGTGGAATATTTTCCAAAACAATTGTGGAATATTTAAGAAATATTTTCAGGGAATATTTATAGAATAAATTTGGAATATTTAAGGAATATTATTATGGAATATTAATAGAATAATTGTGGAATATGCAAGGAATATTTAAATACAATATAATTATGGAACATTCATGGAATATTCATCAAAAAAAATTGTGGAATATGTAAGGAATATTTTTATATCATATTCATAGAATAATTGTGGAATATGTAAGGAATATTTTAATGGAATATTATTATGGAATAATCATAAAGAATAATTGTGGAATATTTACGAAATATTTGTAGAAAATTGAAAAAAAAAATTGTGAAATATTTTTATGGAATATTTTTATGAAATAATTATTGAATATTTATGGAATATTTATAAAATATTTCAATGCAATATTTAAGTAACATTCCTATGGAATATATAAATTATATTTCTATAGAATATTTATGTAATATTCATTGGAATATTTAAGTAATATTCTTTTGGAATAATTAGGTGATATTATTTCGAAATATTTAGAAAATATTCCTTTGGAATATTTAGGTAATATTCATTGGAATATTTAAGTAAAATTCCTTTGGAATATTAAGGTAATATTCCTTTGGAATATTTAGGTAAAATCCTTTTGGAATATTTATGTAATATTCATTGGAATATTTAAGTTAAATTCCTTTGGAATATGTAGGTAATATTACTTTGGAATATTTAGGTAATATTCCTTTGGAATATTTAGGTAATATCCTTTTGGAAAATTTAGGTAATATTTCTTTGAAATATTTAGGTAATATTCCTTTGGAATATTTAGGCAATATTCCTTTTGTATATTTATTTATAAAATAAAATTTAAAAAAAATTAAAAATTAATAATTTCCAAAACCACATACATAATATAATATATAAACTTTTATTTTCGACTTCTTCGAAGCGAAACAAAAGATCATTGTCGTAAATTCTCAACAAAATACAAAGGGGCCAAAAAAAAAATATAGGAAGAAAAAAAAACGACAACAAACTCGATCATATAGAGCCTTTTGAATGCTCGTCGCGCGTTTAAAGTTACTTGATGCGAACCAAAGTTATTATGCTTTAGCAAAAGATTTTCAGGTGACTTGGCAAGTAACACAAACTTTTATGTGTCTCGATTATAAAAAAAATTTTAAATTGTTCGGAAAATATATAAATGCCATTTTTTTAACATGAAAAAAAAATACAAAAATTTTATAGAACTAAAAAACAATAAAAAAAAATTACTGTAATTTCAATTAATTAAAATCACAGTATTTAATAATTATAATTATATATTAATTACCCGGAAAAATTTATAATAAATAAAAAAAAATTGTATTAAAAATAATATAGAAAAATAAATTTTTCTTTTATATTATTTTATAATTATTTTTTTTAATTAAATTTTGTTTTAATAATTTACAATGTTAAAAAAATAATAATTTTTTAATTTAAAAAATATTTTTTTAATAATTTACAATTTTAAATAAATAATAATTTTTTTCAATTTTTTTTTTATTTATTTTTAATGGGAAATTAAAAAAAAAAATTTTTTGTTAATAAAAAACAAAAAAAATTTTATTTAAAAAATATATTAATTTTGAAAAATAGAAAAAAACAGTAAATAATATTATATTATATAAATAATAATAATTGAAATTACATTAATTGAAAATAATTTTATATTTATAAAAAAAATACCTTGCTGTCTGGTTAAGTAGATCGAATGAAATATTATTGTTAACATCGACCTCCATTGCATAACCATAATCACTTTTTAGCGATCTAATGTACTTTTCCGGAAACACCATTTTCAAAAAAATGTTTTTTTTCTTTTTTTTCTCACTGTTTCACTATTAAAAAATAAAATCGCTAATTTTCTTTTGAATAAAAATTTTTTTTATTAGATAAATTCAAGATTTGAAAAAACAAAAAAAAAACAACAATTTTAAAAAATATAAAATATGCAAAATTAAAAAACTTTACTAACAGTTGAATAATAATATTTAGCCTTTTTCTCAATGATAAATATAAAAATTAAATTTATTTAAAAAACTAAAATAATTTATTTCTATTTTTTAAAGTACTGTTTTAAAAAACTACAAATTAAGTAAAATAAAAAATATATACCTATATATTTTTTGTAACAGTATTTTTTGTAATAGCAAATTTTTTAAATTAATAATTAAAAATTTTGGAAAAAATCAATATTGAGAAAAAAAAATTATTTTACACTTTTTTTGTAAATTTAGAAATTAAATTTTTTAATTATAAAAAAAACCACAAAAAATGTATTTTAAATATTTTTTTTTTTTTTGGAAATTAGAAAAAAATTAATTTCCCAAAACTTGAATTAGTCTAAAAACAAAAAAAAACTCGAATTAATTTTTAATTAACAAAAAATGTTAATTACGATTAAATATAATAATAATAATAATAATAATAATAATAATAATAAAATACAAAAAATCACTTTCTGTTTTTTTACGAACCAGTAAAAATTTGTTTGAAGAGAAAAACTAAAATTTTCCCGTTGCCGAAAAAAAAGGAAAATCACTATAATAATAAATTTCTTTCTTTTTTTTTTTTAAAGAAAATTTTATTTTCAACTTCGCGAACGATACGTGACTATTGGCAGTTCACACGACACTGAAACGAATATAATATTATAATATAGAGAGAAAGAAAGAGAGAAAGAATAAAATATGCTAGACTATATTAAAATGAGGCAAATGATCAAAATTCTCCGAAAACTATACTGGACTCAATTGTAATGAGACCTGAAAATGTAAACAAAACCAAAAGGACAGATAAATAGAGTCTCGAAACTATAAAGTTTCCTTATCTCCGTTTTCGAAGCAAAATGAAATATATATTATATTTGAGAATAAAATTGAATTTGGAATTTATTTTCAATTTGCAATTAATATTTATAGTTATAATTTTTTTTTATTTATAAAATTTAATTATTAATTTATTTATTATTTTCAATTTAAAATATTTTATTTTTTACATTTACAAAATATTCTCTTGGAAAATTAATTTAATTATAAACATTATTAAATAAAAAAATAAAAAAAAAATTTATAAGTAAAAAATATTTTCATTAATCGACAAAAGAAATTCTTTTTTTTTTTTTATTACGAAAAAAGAACCAAAAAAATATTCCAGAAATATTCATGGGAATATTTTGAAAATATTATTAAGAAATATTTCCAAAATATTGTATAGGAATATTACTAAAATATTGATTAGAAATATTTTTAAAATATTCCAGGAATATTTTAATGGAATATTTTATAAAATATTCCATAGGAAAATTTCCAGAATATAATATAGAAATATTTTTTATATATAATAAAATTAAAATATAACATTTGAATAAAACTAAAAAAAATATTCCAAAGAAATATTCATGAAATATTCCATATGAATATTACTAAAATATTCCTAAGTAATATGCCTAAGTAATATTCCTAAAATATTCGATAGGAATAATACTAAAATATTCTATTGAAATTTTAATACTCCATAGGAATTTTAATATTCCATAGGAATATTACTAAAATATTCCTAAGTAATATTACTAAAATATTCCTAAAATATTCCTAAGTAATATTCTTAAAATATTCCATAGAAATATTACTAAGCTGTTCCATAGTAATATTACTAAAATATTCCATAGAAATTTTAATATTCCATAGGAATTTTAATATTCCACAGGAATATTACTGAACTATTCAAAATAAATATTAATAAAATATTTCCTAGGATTATTACTAAAATAGTCAAAATATTTTTGTAATATTCCATTTTTTAAAATATTACACAAGAAAATTACTACAATTTTTTTAATAGAAATATTCCTAAAATATTCCAGAAGTAAATTTCCAAAATTGTACATTAAAATTATTATAAAATATTAAAAAAAAAATTGTTATTAAACATTCCATATAAATATAATTTTACTAAATAAATATAATAAAAAAAATTCTTTTTTTACACTAACTATTTTATTTAATTTTTCTCAACCTACTAACAATTTTTTTTTCTTTCAAACTATTAATAAAAAAGGAGAAGAAAAGAATTATTTTTCCTCTAAAAAAAAGAAGAAAAAGTATATATTCAAAAAATAAAAAAAAAAATAATTTCCCCACAAGAAAATTTAATTGTTTTCTGTAAACTTGTGAGAGAGTTTGGTTTGAAACTGCGAATATAATATGTAACCAAAAAGAAAAGAAAGAAAGAAAAGAAGAAAAATTCTATATAGAAAAATGGGGGTCGCGCGGAAAATTTCACCCCGTACGCCTTGGCTTTTAAGTCGACGCTCGGTATTACGAGGCCGAGTATGGGCTTTATTGTTACAGTTTAATTACTTTGACAGAAGAGTAAGGGGCAACCGCAAAGAACGTTGGGGTGCGTTTCACCAGGTGTAGGGGGCTGGGGGAGGAAATTTTAATATGCAACGCGCCAACGGATGGCGAGAATGAATTTAATACTTCGGGGGTTTTCCCTCTGAAGTGGTGCCTTTCGTGAAAACCTACTTTTCTGTCAACGACGTGTAATACTTCTCTAGTGCGCGCTCTTCTGAAATTCGCATATTCCATCTTATTTCTCTTCTTTTTTTATTTTTTTCTTGAATGAAACAAAAAAAATTTTTCTTTTTTTATTTTAAATTTAACGAAAAATTAAATTTAATAAATAAAAAAAATTATTTTTGCATTTAAAGACAGTGGAAACAAAATTGTGTAAAAAATAATTAAAAATTGAGGAAAATATTTTTTTTTTTTTGAAAAAGGGGCGCTATATAGTATAAATAATGTCCTGAGGGTACTCTAAAAGACGCAATGGTTGTGAAGGTGCGATGCAAAGTGGTTTAGTAAATCGCCAAGGGATTAGAAAGTCAAGAAATGAAATCAATAAAAATTTTCCCAAAGGGGCGCCGAATAGTAAGGGTACGGCCCTGGCGGCGAGAGGACCCGAAGAGAGGCGTAACCACCCGAAACACGTCAGTCGGTCGCTGACAGCCGTTGAGTGAACACACTTCGACCGCTCATTGACACGCTTCGGGTGGTTTCGCCTCTCTTCGGACCCTCTCGCCGCCAGGACCGTACCCTTACTATTCGGCGCCACTTCGGGAAAATTTCTAATTTTTTCATTTCTTGACTTTATAACCCCTCGGCGAATGACTAAATCACTTTGTATCGCACCTTCACTACTATTGTTCGCTAGATGAAAGCCTCGTTAGTCAAAGAGCAAGTCCATCCTAAAGCAGAGAGAGAGAGAGACAGAGAGAGACCTTTAAAATAAAAGAATCCTCTTCACAAAACCCTCAACGTTAATCTAATTTATCTCACCCCTCAATAATATGGCCTCATTATTTTTTTTGACGCATAAAAAAATTAAATTTTCCCGCCGAAATAAATTTTTTTTCATGTTAAAAATAAAATTTGAATCGCTATTAGTCAACGGTTTTTTTTTAAAAATATATTGGAGAGAGTGACCCATTAATTAACTCTACTGTCTGGATAGCTCGAATTTAACGAATTGGTATAAAATAAAATCTGTTTTCGAAGCGAGAGGCCGATGCTATTTCTCTAACAAGGGGCCATTATTCGTGTCTCGAATTCAGTAATAATAATAATAAAATAATGAAATCGACACCGAAAAACTCATTTGCAATAAATACGAGTATAAAATAATAGGTGAACGATTTCCCTACGATTTGATTGATTGCCATTGGAATTTACAAAACAGATAAAATATTGACAAAAAAAACAAGATTGGCATTTTTTTAATTGGTAAAATTCATTGAAAAAAAAATTTATAAATAATTTCTTTTTTTTATAGAAATAATTCGAAAAATTCAGTGACGATATAATTCGGAACAAAAGTTAGGGAAAAAACTTTTTTAATCTGTTTTGCTATCTCCAGTTTTTAAGGAGAGATTTTTTTTTCACGATCGAAGAGTTGGCAAAAGAATCTTATTTTCAAGGACTTAACGACGGATCCTTCTTTTTTTCTCTCATCGAACAGAGTAAAAGGTAATTTACATTCAATTCAGGAAATCCCAGATGTCTATTGGCTAAAGAACCATTCGGATGAAAATATCCGACTATCCAGCTCCTAAAGCGGATATCCTGGCATCTGCATAATTCCATCCTCATTTTCTTTTCAAACTAGTCTTTCTTTTGGTCCATTTTCTTCCCTTTCGATTATAAAAATTTTTTATTTTAACAATTTTTTTTGTCGTAATCGATTTTTTTTATTTATTATTCTAAAAAAAAATTTTATTCTACTCTTAAATTTTAATAAAATTAGAAATATTTTGTTTAAAATTAAATAAAATATTTTAAAAAAGAAAAATGTAAAAATTTATCTAATTAGAAAACGAGAAATGGACTAATTAGGGAATTTTTTCGAAGGGGCGCCGAAGAGTAAGGGTACGGCCCTGGCGGCGAAAGGTCACAAAGAGAGGCGGAACCACCCGAAGCGAGTGAGTCGCCGGTCGAACTGTGTTGACTCGACGGCGGTCGGCGAGCGACTGACACGCTTCGGATGGTTCCGGCTCTCTTCGGGCGCTCTCGCCGCCAGGGACGAATCCTTAATATTTGGCGCCCCTTAGGAAAAATTTTATTATTTCCTAATTTTATTTACAATTATTATTATTATTATTATTTGTTATTACTATTATTATTATTATTATAATTCCTATTATTGTTACTATTAGAACTAGGATACAAGTTTCTAAAAAGTAATTACCCTTCCCCTATTAATTCTGCAAGTTATTTTATTTTAATTTTGTTTCCTTTTTTAACATTTTATATAATTTTTTTTTATTTTTAAACAGAAAATTCTTTTTTTAAAAAGAAAATTAAAAGTAGTTTTTAATTTAAATTCACCATTTTAATAACATCAAAAAGAAAATCTCATCTCACAAACTATAAAAAAAATTTTTTTCTTAAATTTACCAGATTTATTCTGCCATTCGCTTATTGAAATTGGCATGTAATTAGACTTTCAATCTTTTGTCTTAATTCATTCTGTCAAGTAGTGAAGTATCTTTCCTTTCGAGTTTATCCAAAGAAACTGCGAACGACATTGATGGCAAAGAGAGGGGTGAGAGAGAAAGGTAGTATCTTCCATTCAAATGCTTTCGTTTGTTTGTCGACTTCTCTTTAAAACTCGACTCATTCTCTCCTTTAACAGCCCTTCAGAATGAAGCTTACGTAACGAGAAAAAGAGAGAGAGAGAAACTCGACAGTTTACTCTTTAAGTATAAAACAACGACGTTTGTTATAATCGTTAGCCGCGTAAAAGCGAGTACAATAAAATCATTTCGAGGATAAGCAATTTTCATGTTAGAATAAAATGACGGAACTTTGCATTTTCTTCTTTGATGGAGTAAGTTATTTTTTACTTTACTTTCTGGTAGCTTTATTTAATTTACGGTTTTATTCATTTTTCTCTAGTGAAATTTTGTAATAAAGTGGGAAAATGATTTTCTAATTGTGTTTTTAAAAATATTTTTAGTTAGAAAATTTTTTTTATAGGGGCGCTATGTAGTATAGATACGGTCCTGAGGGTACTCCAAAAGACGCAATGGTTGTGAAGGTGCGATGCAAAGTGGTTTAGTCATTCGCCAAGGGATTAGAAAGTCAA